CACAAATCATCATGGATGTTGCAGACAATAACCTTGTATTGGAGATCAATCCCTAGGCGATGAAGATAACTAGTGATGAGAACACAAGTGAGGCGTAATTGATGGGCTTGCGGGTGAAAGCCATAGTCTTTTGAGGAGTCAAAAATGGGATGATTGAATGAATGATACGAGAGGAGAGCAAGTGTATCAGACCTATAAATTCTGAGTGGATCTTTCCTTCATGAACCAGATCACAAATGAAGTGGTATCGGACCTCTATGTGTTTAGTTCGAGAATTTTGGATGGGATTCTTATTCGTGTTGATAGCACTAGTGTTATCACACAAGACAGGAAGTATTTGGATTGACTGATGAAAATACCTTTACTGGTTTGTTTTACTTGAAGGCCAAGAAAATTGTTTAATTCCCTCATAAGAATCATTTCAAATGCATTTTTCATGTCAATTTCAAATTTTGTACATAACTGTTGACTAATGGAGCCAAAAATAATGTCATCTACGTAGACTTGAACCAATAGAGTGTGTTCTTTTCCATTTTTAAAGAACAAAGTTTTATCAACTCGTCCTCGATGAAAACCTTTTTCAATTAGAAAGTTACTGAGTTTTTCATACCAGCCCCAAGGAGCCTGCTTGAGCCCATATAAAGCTTTATTAAGTTTATACACATAGTCTGGATGTTCGAAATCTTCAAAACCAGAAGGTTGTTAGACATATACCTCTTCCTTTAGATCATCGTTTAAAAATGCACTCTTAAAATTCATTTGTTATAATTTAAAGCCTCTAGAAGCTGCATAAGCACGCAGAAGTCGAAATGCTTCTAACCTAGCTACGGGAGCAAAGGTTGCATGAAAGTCAATTCCTCTTCCTGACAATAGCCTTGAGCTACTAACCTGGCTTTGTTTCTAATTATGGTTCCAATTTCGTCTGTTTTATTTCGGAAAATCCACTTTATTCCAGTGATTATTCTATCTTTAGGTCTGAAAACTAAGTCACATACTCGAGTTCTAGCAAACTGATTCATTTCATCATGCATGGCAGCATACCAGTATGTATTTTTTATTGCCTCCTCGACACTTTTTGGTTCAAATTGAGCTACAAAAGAAGTATGTTCACATCATGATCCTTTTCCTTCTGAATTTTGTCTCCCTCAGAGGTTGAGGTTTCTTTTTCTGGAACTCTTGTTTGCTGTTCCCAAGCCAAAGTCACCATCATCATCTAAACTGTATGCACACTTGCTACAAGACTCATCAAATATCACATTGATGGACTCCTCAACCGTGAGGGTCTGTTTATTATACATGCGATATGCTCTGCTATTCACAGCATAACCAAGGAAGATTGATTCATCTAATTCTGAATCAAACTTTCCTAGGTGATCTTTAGTATTCAGAACAAAACATTTGCATCCGAATGGATGGAGGTAAATCAGATTTGGCTTCCTGTTTTTCCAGAGTTCATATGGTGTTTAGTTTAGCTTAGGTCTAATGATAGCTCTATTTGTAACATAACAAGATGTATTCCTTCCCTTTCGTTTGACTGCAAAGAACCCTAATTGCACAAAAAGGGGATCAAGTGAAGAACTCTCGAAATGAAAAAGTAAAAAGAGAAATATGATCGAAGGATATTTTGTTCAGAGTTAAAACTAAACAAACTAATTATAACAGAAGTGGGTTGGGCCTTGTGTTCTTTCTCGTTTGGTTTGCACACCAGATCAGTTGGGCATGTTCCAAGCCAGCCCAACCATAGCAGCATATTGTCTTCTCTGGAGACATATTCTGCAGCTCCTCTGTTTCAATCTTAAACACACAAAAAGCAGAACATAGAGCACAACACACAGTGAAAGCAAACGCACAAGACACAAGGCCGAATTTTATATGGTATCCGATATTGGGAGAATAAGGATCCCAATATCGACTAATCCACGATAGGAGATTCTCCTCTTGAGATCTCCTACCTAACTACTAGTTCGAGTTCACCTGTTCCTCTTACAAATGATGAGAAAACTTGATCAGCTCCCTGCCTAACTAGTTGCTCCTAACGCTGATGTATCAACTCCTTGTTTATACACTCAGACTAACTACGCAAATCTCCTTGACTTGCTTGCTCACAGTTTTCACTCAAAAGACTACGATTAATCTCGCAATAACACAGCTATTGATCCCTTTGAAAACGTGAATCACCAATCTTATTCTGTAGCCTTTTTATACTCCTCTGCTCTTGAATTAGTCGTTGTGGAGGGTTTTGATTTGATTTCCCAAAATCTATTGTAACCTTCCTTCTGGAGACCTTCCTTCTATGCTTTGATTGATTCTTTCGGTTCTTTCCTTCCTTGTTATTGATAGGCTTCTCTCAACACTTGTAACTTTGAATTCACTGTTGAATGTGAGTTATATAAAGGGTTAATATTTTAGTATGACCTGAACTTTGACCAAAATAAACATCCTGGCCAATCTTTTCGATCTATAACATCCTGGCCCAAACTATACATAAAAATAAAGAATTTGGCCAAAATCTGACTTTTGACCGTTAACTTGGACGGTCAAACGCATTAACTAACGGTCAACGCGCCATGTCACTCAATTATTTTTTTTAATTTACACCTATTTCCATTTTCTTTCATTTATAATTTTGAACGGGATTCAAAATTATAAAGGAAAGAAAATTGAAATAGGTGTAAATTAAAAAAAAAATTAATTGAAACTTGCTGAGTTGGTAGTGACATGGCGCTTTGACCATTAGTCAATGCATTTGACCGTCCAAGTTAACGGTCAAATGTCGGGTCTGGCCAAATTGTTTATTTTGATGTATAGTTCGGGCCATGATGTTATAGATCGAAAAGATTGGCCATGATATTTATTTTGGTCAAAGTTCGGGCCATACAAAAATATTAACCCTTATATAAACTGGAATAAGGGTTGAAGTCTTTTGTGTGTTCTTTTGCAGTCTTAGTATCCAAATTACAAGTTGGACCAGAATCTGCATATCAAAACTTCTCCTAATGTTCTTCACATCATTGTTACTTTGAGGTTATTGTTTTAATAACATGTTAATGAAATGAATCTGTGGTCCCAATTCACCCTGAATTCAGTGTCTACTCCTTACTCAATATTTTTTTTATGAGGGTGATATAAATTTTATTAATAAGTGAAAAGAAAGAAGATACATATGGACAAGGGAGCAATTCCGCTAGACAGGCCCAGAAGCCCAAGGAACAAACTGATCACCAATAAAACCCAAAACCCCAAAAGTAGCATCAGGAGCATCCATCTCATATGGCAAAATCTCTAGGGGAAGGTGATAGAAACCCAATTTCTAGGTCTATCATAATTATCATTATTATTAATATTAGGATTTTATTAGATATGGCTAGTAGTATTTGAGTCAAATTAGGATAGTTTATTAGGTTTTCCCGGTCTTTAGCTATAAATATGTACTTTGGGGCTTTTTTTCGATTAAGCAGAAATCAGTAAAACAATTATCTCCCAAAACCTTATTGTGTTCTCTCTCAACCTCGTATGTCTTTCTTTCTCAAAGGCCTCGGCAGTTCTTCCCCAAATCCCAATTCTTCTCCTAATCCTTAATTTCTATTCTCAATCCCTAAATCCCCTTTCTAAATTACAAGTTACGTAAATCGTAAGAAATCCAAATAAGCGGGTTTCTATCATTTGGTATCAGAGCAATGGTCACGAATCTGAATTTATCACAACTCGTAACCGGGGACGTGATCTACCAAATGCAAGTCTGCTGTGAGTGGGCAATGAAAGTCTTGGAGAAAAGCATACAAGATGCTGAGAAGAGAGCCGAGGAGTGGCGACTGTTGGTGGAGAAATTGAAACGACCCCTAACCTCGCCTCGGCGAGCCAAGACACCAACCACCACTGCTGCGAGGTCATTCCCTCCACCCGCGATGAAATCCTGGTCGTAATTGTCCCCACTGCCACCGAAGAAGAAGATCAGGCCGCCAAGAACGTTGGAGATCAGCAGCAGCTTTCGGCAACCACCACAATGCTGCCTGACTCGTTTACTTTGGTCTCCACCACCAAGAAGTCGGGCTATGAAGCCGAGATGGAACCTCCAATCAATGTTCCGCCAGCCACCATACCAACTCCATACGAAATCGAAGAAGAAGAAGTAAAAGGAGAGGGAGCGCGAGCGTCGCCTTGCTGGCAGCTGGGCGATTCCTCGCCGGTTTCGCGAGTAGGAGTGACGGCGACGAAGACCAGGGAGGCAGATCCGGGAAGGGGTGCGACGGAGGGGGGCGGTGCGATGCTCCTCAAAGCGACGGCGAACTGGAAGTTGAAGGCAATGGCGGAGTAGGGCTCGTCGCGTCGCCGTCGGATGAGCTATTGGCCGCCGGGAATGGAGAAGGAAGACGGAGGCGGTGTGTCTCCTCGCGCACCGTTGGCGAAGAGGGAATCGCCGGCGAAGGCCGCGGCGCAACGAGGAAGAAGAATATGGAAGAGGGCAGCGGCTCTGTCTCTCTCCCGATTAAGGACGAACCCCCGTCTCCAAGGAAGGAATCTGGCGCGCCGCTAGGAGAGTCGAAGGAGAATGAGGAACGAGGCGACGATTGTTCTCCCTTCCGACAGAAGTCATTCGAGGCGGAGAGAAGCACTAAGTCGGCCCTCCCTCCTAGCCACTTGACGAACTCGTCGACGATGGCGCCACCAGAAAAGATGGCGAGGGAGGAACCGCTGATGAGGGAGCTGTCGGGGACGAAGACGGGGAAGCAGCGGACGGCTTCTCTCTCGGCGATGTCGACCATGGAAAAGAAGGAGAGCAGCGCCACTCTGTTTGCGAGCCCTAGGTCATCGACTCGGGTCGGGGAGCAGCAGCAACAACGAGTGGGTCAGGTCGGGACCGAGTTCTTGCGCCGCGCTGCCGTTCAGATCACCGGGCTTGATGGTTTGGAGCATGGGCCGGATTTTGCTTGCATGGACCAATGATCGGGCCAGAGAAACTGGGAATGGGCATACCAAAACAAAGAGGTAAGTCTGATTCCATGGAGGGCAGGCATGCTCGAAAGAAAATGATTGGTGACGCTGGGCTTGAACAAACGGAGCGGGCCGAGGAAGAAGTGGAGTACGGGCTGAGACTAGAGGAAAGTGGGTCGTTTCAGGAAGTGCTTAAGCCCAATGTTGCTTGTGATTTGAAGAAGGCAGGTGTGGAAGGTGCTCTTAGGAAGGAAGATGGGCTTTCAAAGGAGTTAGGCACAATCAAGTTGGGAGACAAATAGAGCAAAGGACTTAACCTTGGGCTGGGCCACATCTCTGCCTCCCAAAAATTTATGGGCCAAGTCAAAGATAAAGGAAGAGGAGGTTGGCAAAAGCTAGAGCTTGTTTTCACCGCCAAGCCCGTTGAGGAATTTGTGGAGTATTTCCTTGAAGATTTCAAGCCGGTTAGTGATAAGGAGCTCCAAGAAGAACAATTCTCCGACTCTTATTTCGTAGATTTCGAAAGAGAGGAGGACGAATTGTTTGGCGATAGGGAATGTGACATGTGTCACGAGGTGGAAGAGAAGTCAAGAGACATGGAAGATGTTGGAAAAGAATTTAATCGTGAGACTGAGCGCAATTGAAAGCGAAGAAAGAGGAAGTTCGAGAAAGGGAAGTTGATTTGCAACCTTGAGGACAAGGTTGGTCTCAAGGGGAAGGGGATGATAGAAACCTAATTTCTAGGTCTATCATAATTATCATTATTATTAATATTAGGATTTTATTAGATATGGTTAGTAGTATTTGAGTCAAATTAGGATAGTTTATTAGGTTTTCCCAGTCTTTAGCTATAAATATGTACTTTGGGGTTTTTTTCGATTAAGTAGAAATCAGTAAAACAATTATCTCTCAAAACCCTATTTTGTTCTCTCTCAACCTCGTCTGTCTTTCTTTCTCAAAGGCCTCGGCCGTTCTTCCCCAAATCCCAATTCTTCTCCTAATCCCTAATTTTTATTCTCAATCCCTAAATCCCCTTTCTAAATTACAGGTTACGTAAATCGTTAGAAATCCAAATAAGCGGGTTTCTATCAGAAGGAGAGGAGAGCAGAAGCAAAGCCCTGTCCCCAGCAGCCAAACGGAAACGCAGCTTTAACATATTCCTACTAGATGCCTGCTGCTAGTCGCTTTTCTCAAAGGAAACAACATATATGGATGGATGGCTCCTTGTAATGAAATCCTTTCGGTTAATCTGTTGATTTTTCCAAAGCTAAAATACAGGACTTGAGATGCTGGTGTTTTCTATAGGCTTTTTGAAAGAACCCTCTTGTTAAGGATTCTAGAGACTGATCTTCGGCACCTGTAATTATCGTAACAATTAGGGATTTATATGAGAATTGGGGATTAGGGATTGAAGAACAGAATTGGGGTTGAGATAGAAGAATGGCCGACGGCCTTTAGGGAAGTGAGGGATGAGATTTGAGAGGGATTAGAGACTAGGGTTTGAGAGATACTTTCTGTAATATTATTCTTGACTTATTATGACGTAAACCCAAAGTACATATATATAGGAAATAAACCCAAAACCCTAACAATTAACCCTAGCCCATTCGGCTATACCTAGCCGCCTAACTCTACTAATCATAACACTACTAATATATATTCCTAACATTCTACCCTCCTTGAAAGCGACCTTGTCCTCAAGGTTTCAGTCAACTTCCGTATTCTTGATCTTCCGCTTTCGTCGCTTCCAATTGCGCTCAATTCTACAAACTAATCTTTCTCCAACAGCTTCTACTTCCCACGACTCTTCTCCCGTCATGTGGCACATGCTACTCATCTCATAGTCGAGCAGTTCTTCCTCCTCTCTTTCGAAGTCCACGAAATAAGAATCGGAAAACAGTTCTTCTTTGTGTTCCAGTCTGAGATCTTCAGGAGAGGGCTCTATAAATTCTATCATGGATTTGGTGGTGAGAGTAACCCCTAGCTTCAACAAACCTTCATTTCCTACCTCTTGGATTTGGCCCATAATTGCATGGAGTAATGAGGTGTTCTTCTTCTTAATTTCGTTTGGGCTTGTAAGTCCACTTGCCAACTTCACAACTCCTTCCTTCTTTTCCTCCAAGCCCATCTCTTTTAAATCAGAGCCCACGTTGGGCTTAAGCCCTCCGTCCTGATTTGGCCCAACATCATATAAGAGAGCTCTCACAAGGCTGCCCTTGAATGGTCTAGGGATTGGGCCCTTCAAAGCCCAACTCAGCTCATATTTCCTTTGAAACCATTTCCCTTCTTTCAGCCCAAACCCAACCTTCTTCTCGGCCCTCTTCACTTCTGAACCATCCAAATGTGCGGACGCAGTCGCTGGGTCTAGCGAAAACCCAATGGATGCAAGCTTGTGACCCAGATTGTTGGGCACATCTATCTTCCTCGGCCCAACAGAGATTTGGCTCCTTATCCACTTTGGTTCCGGGCTTGGCCCAGTAGGGTAAGCAGCTGCTTCCCTTGGCCTACCTCCCTTTCGCTGCTGCTGTTGTTCGTGCGAGGGAAGAAGCCGCCGTGCGTTGTTCGGGAGCAGAGGTCCGCCGCCGCCGTCGCCGTTCCTCTTTCTCTCGTCCGTCGGAGACTCATCCTCTTGCGGCGTCTTCTTCCTCGGCCAAAGGCCGATCGACGACAGGCGTGGAGGTCGGCTCGCTTCGAGCCTTGGCTTCACGGTCATCGTTTTCAACACCGCCCCGTACTCCAATGGCGGCTCGAGCTCTGCCTTCTTCTCAGTCGTTTCGTTTCCCGGCGACACTGCTCGGCGAACACGAGGCCTGTCCGACCCCACTGCCGTCTTCCCCTTCATCACCTCGACTGGAGCAGTTCGCGGAGTCTGTGCAATTCGGACCGCCGGCGACGTCTCCTTCGGCGGCGCACAGAGGATCTCGTCGCCGCGATTCTTCTTCTTCCTCTGGAGCACTGGCGGTTCTTCCTTCATCTTTGCCCGCTTCATTTCTTCTTCTCCGGCCATCTACCGCCCTCGGAATCGTGACGTAGGCGAAGAGCCCCGACGGCTCATCGCCGTTCGGAACTCATCGATAGAGGCTGGTTGCGATGTCGGGGAAGGTTGCTGCTGCTCATTAGAGGCCTTGGCTTCCGGACACAGTTCCGCCTCCTGCTCCTTGACTTTCTGCGGACTCGATCTGCTATCTGCCGTGACCGTGCTCGGCTCGATTGGGAACGCAGGTTGTTCCAGCCATTCTACGAAATCCCTTTCAACGACAGGCGGTTTGATTACGGTGGCTGGAGGTGTGATCGGACTCCTCTCCGTTCTCGCCGCTTTCAACTTCATCTTAAGAGCTTTGGTGAGTTCTTCGATTGAGATATCGAAGTTGGTCGAAACCATGGTACGAGTGCCACAACCAGGCTCTGATACCACTGAAAGAACCCTCTTGTTAAGGATTCTAGAGACTGATCTTCGGCACCCGTAATTATCGTAACAATTAGGGATTTAGATGAGAATTGGGGATTAGGGATTGAAGAACAGAATTGGGGTTGAGATAGAAGAATGGCCGACGGCCTTTAGGGAAGAGAGGGACGAGATTTGAGAGGGATTAGAGACTAGGGTTTGAGAGATACTTTCTGTAATATTATTCTTGACTTATTATGACGTAAACCCAAAGTACATATATATAGGAAATAAACCCAAAACCCTAACAATTAACCCTAACCCATTCGGCTATACCTAGCCGCCTAACTCTACTAATCATAACACTACTAATATATATTCCTAACACTTTTGGTTGATGATGGTTTTCTACAATTTCTGTAGAATTTCTGGTTTACTGCTTTCTCTGCCACTCTTGAAATGATTGTTGGGATCATGTTCGTGGAACAGTATGATGATCTGTTAGCCGTGTCTGCTCCTCTCCATGGTAATGCATTCCTCCATTCATATCCATCCTCATTTCAACTATATCTACCAGGTCTATCGATCCAAGTTATAGTAGTAAGTTTGAGGGTGTTTGTACTGATTTTTTCTTTCCAGGTTTGCCATTATTAAGGTTCATGGCAGATACTCCATTTTATGTATATGACCGTTTCTTACTACTGGTGACTTTCAATTACTAAATTTCATTTATATGAACTGGAATCAGGCTTGAAGTCTTTTGGTTCTTTTGTAGTCTCGGTATGCAACTTACATGTTTTATTAAGAGTACAATCACGAGACCGTCAAGAATTACCTATTGGTATGTTTTTCAATGGTTTGAAATTATGTCTTAAAGCATCTAGTTTGGTAAGTTCCATGTGATTAACTGGAAGAGCAAGGTAATAAAGTTAGATTGGTAGGCTGACATATTGTTTCTAGGACCTAGGTAATAGTTGATGGTACTTATGCTCGACATGCAAGTTGCCTACCTCTTGGCAAATGTTTATGAAACATAGCGTTCAAGTTTCTTAATCTGTTTTGTCATGACGAGAAAGACTTAAAGATTTCGGAGTTGATGAATATTTTAGGTACAAAGCATAGACCAAAGATTGGGATAAAGTTAGATGATTTGGTTAGACTTATTGGATTTGTAAATTTTCATTATAACTGAGTTTCATTTTATGCTACAATAATTAGTCTTTCAATTATATATTGATTAATAAATGGTATTTGACTGTGTTGACAATAGTTGGTCTTTTCAATTGTATGCTAATATATGAGACATGTACGAAGGGAAAATATTATGGCTAGTGACTGATAATTAGATATTTTGATTATCAAATATCGTGACCAAGTATTAGTATCTAGACACGGAATAACCAATCAAATACCGTGACTAATGATTGACACGTAGTTATGGGAAACGATTTAGCCATGGTAAATATTGTGTTTAAATGTGTATATCCCGTCTCTAAATGAGTTTTTAATATAGGTTTTGTATGGCAAGATTTGGTATTAGTCATGGTGCTTCCCGTGATTAATGAGTAATGATTATCACAAGAAATTATACCGTGACAAGCTATAACTAGTCACGGTACAAGTTTCCCATGACCTTTACAATTAGACACTGAGGTATATATTACGGTAATTTTCTTGTGACCAAAACTATTAAACACGGGAAACACACTTTCAAATATGGGATGTCCTATGATTATATGATCTATTTCCTATAGTGTAGGCCTAGCTTTTTGAACAATTTGTATGACATCACATTTATACTAGCGTCCAAATCCATCAAGGACTTTCCTACATGCAAACTATCTATAATGCAAGGGATAGTAAAACTCACTGGGTCTTTGCACTTCTTTAGTAGCTTGTTCTGGAATATGGCAGATT